ATTTTGTTGTATTTATTCTGTTATTGTACGCATTTAGTAACGACTTAGAAGCTGGCGATATACCAGGTTTAATTTTAACAAAAGCAACGAGACCCGCCTCCGATAGAATTTTGGTTTGGTAGTTTTTAAAGATATATTAAAGCCAAACCTGGCGTAAAAATAAAGTTTACAGCGGCGAATGGCAAGCGCAAAGTGATGCAGGTGGCCAATTTTTTAAATTTGGAAAACTTTGGAGCGAGAGACTTTCATCACTTTTGACTTCCATATCAAAGTAATTGCTAAGCACTCGAGCTCCGGGGAAGGCGCAGAACTAAAGGAGTTATATGGATCCTGGCTTTTATCGACGGAGAAAACGAGTAGGGTTAGCTTTAAACTAAAAAAAAAAATCAATGTAATCAAGTTAATCTAACTAATGATACATATATGTAGGTACTATTTTAAATACGTAATTGATCACAGTTTTATGAATAGCATAAGATTTTGGAAAAGTATTGTTATTATTTTACTAAGAATACAACGAATCGAAATAAAAGTTGGAAGTATTATGTAGATATTTGGATTTTAGTTGACTTCATCGATTTTTGGGCACGTAAGTTCAATTAATTAATTAATTAATCCCAACGGTTTTGCCCTCCTTTCTGCGTCCAATGGGGCGCAGTCCGCATGACGTACGCAACATTTTTTTTTTCGAAATAATTCAAAACACATTTTACAATTTTCTGTTTTTGTTCATAATTGTAGAAGCAACTAGTGCTCATATGCATGACATCCATGGTCCAGTCTAGGCGCCAGCAAGTCTTCAATTTCGTCTTATGAAGAATAATTGTAGAATACGCCAAAAAGACCAATTGGGCCTAATATGCAAAAAATCGATTCAGTATAATATTTTATTGCACATATGGCAACACTAACAGTCTTTTTCTATACTCCCTCTTTCATTACTTTTGTTTTGCTCCCAATATTTGGTACATTTTGTTTTAATTAACTGCGTCAGCAAATTATAATTAAATAAAAGATTGAAGTTGTTGATACGCCTTAATTTAAGCGCAATAAAATCAAGTTATTTTTAAAACAAAGCTGCTGTTGCCAAACTGACATGCATCCTCGACTTGGTCCAAAACGTACACTACCCGAAGGCACCGAGGAGGAAGCGGTTGAACTTAATAAACTTTATGGTATTTCAAGTGCTCTATTTAGTGCTTCAGCTAGTTCATATAGAAGCTCATAACACTTTTATTTTAGATGACTTACGCACAAAACTCTCCTTGTCACGTACTGACCGTTTAGCAGGCCGTGCGTTGGGTGCTTGGGACCCTGACGAGAAGGCCGTGCAGGTGCTACGGAAGGATGGAAAATTTGGCAATTTCGGCTACAGTCATAGCGGTCAATTCTATTTGGAAAATTATGAAGCCTTATTTTTGTTAGAAATGGTAATATAGCAGTTAATAATTCACACTCTAGCTCCTAATCTTACACACACATATTTACCTATAGAACCGCTTGCAATTGGAGTACCACTCAAAGATAATGTCTGTGGAACAAGCTTATTTGCTACTATTAGGCGAGGCACCTAACACTAAATTTAACGAATATCTTGTTTATTCTCATCTCACGCGTATTGGTTTTATTTTGGTGCGCCACCAAAATGTCGCCTATTACGACAATGTTGAGCCTACGGAAGTGGATTGCGCATGGGCGCTCGCATTGAGCGTTATCAATAATCGCGCGATCCCAGAAAATGTAAAGAAATCTCCACACTTTGTCAAAGTCAAAATGCAAATGAAACACATAAAAGATTGCATTATGAAGCAGGAAGAACTAGAGCAAAAAGAAGTGGTGGACGACGAGTCGTTGCCGCCAGTGAACTTCGATCGTAAAATGGCATCAACGGGAAAACGAAAAAATGTGAGTGATGAAGTGGAAAACCCTACGGAAGCCAAGCGAAGATGTTTCGAGATTGCTGCTAAGCAACGAAGTTTTCTAGATTGTCTTAAGGATGAGCCCGAGTACAAGCAGTTTGAAGAGAGTTTCGCCAAAATTGATATTATAAAAATGAGGAGCTCTACAGAGAGTGCAGAAGATGAGATAAGGAATTTGCAGATTGTTTTCGATTTGTATCTGCATAATGATGGATTTAAAAAGAGCGCACCGAAACCACCAACATTTCGATTAATTGTATTAGGTGTAAATGACCCATTTCCAACGCATTCGGAAATATCACAAGCATATAATTTGCAGAAGTACCCAGTGCCGCTTTTAGTAGTTACGGTGGGAGAATCCAAGCAAGTGCAGGCATTCTTGTATTATTTTAGTTGATAAGGTGTTATTTTCAGCTGTTATTCACTTCTAAACTAATTTATATTGTTAAAACTACATATTTTAATGAAATAGAATCCTACCTAGATGGTTGCTTGATATGGCGTCGCTACGTATTTTATTAGCCTTTTTCTTTTTACGAAGTAGGATAAATGGCGCTTATTAAATTATTGCATTAGCGCCACTTACATATATGTATATACACTAAACTATTTTCGGACACTTGATTCTTTAAAAATATACGTGCGAACAAATTTTCCCGAAAACTACTTCCGGTTAACAAACAGCGGACTCCCGCTTTTTTACCAACGCATCGCGGCAGAGTGGCAGCACCAATCAGCTGTTGTAGGGTTGCATTTGGTTTGTTCTCACTTGTTACCAAATTCTACTAGTGTTGGAAAACTATCTATAGTGTATACATTCGATTGTTTCGATAGTAATAGTAAAAAGGATTCGATACTATCGAAAGCTTTCTTACATATGATGAGATATACCACTAATGCCCTATTGTACCAATCAATTTTAAAATGTATCAAACTTAAAATTTAAAATAGCACAACATCAAAAAAAAAATTTTGTCATTTTAAATTATAACGGCCTGACAAATTTAAAATTGTTTGGTGAAACTGGGCATAACATTTTGTAAATAGACAAATTTGATTCCATTTTTTATGGCCTAAGAAAAATTTGGCAAGTGATATGACAGATCCCATCGCCTGTCAATTTCTTCGTTTCTGCTTTTACTACATAAAAAAGATAACAACGGCCAGGAAGAGAGCTTATTCTTAAATAACCCATTTCGTTAGTAGAAAAACTATAAAGATTATTTATATACACAAAAATAGTTTGTGTAAAACGAAATGAGATCGTGTATTTCAATAACACATTACAAACAAAGGAGTTCACAACATACATACATATGTAGCCATGTGCATCTTTTATAGCTGAGTTATGCATATTGCTATACCATTTTTACGTAAAAACCAAAACCCAACAGACTTCTACATGTGAAGTGCTATGCGTTGGGTAACCGCAGATTCCTTATGTGACAACTCTCATGCAATGTCAAGTATGCATAACTGAGCCTTTAGCCATTTCTTGTACGTCATTCTATATGGAGTTATTGCTTTTCTATATAGCTGCATACTGGCCTTATATGTGAACAACATACAACTATCGATAGTGTCTAGAAAAGTTCGATAGTGGCTGCAAAATGAAACCATCAATACTATCGATAGCCCCATCGATAGTTCTCCATCACTACTTTTTACCGTAGATTTGTATCAGAAATAAAAATTTTGAGGCATTAAAATTTCGCGTTGAAATCAAAATTACTAAAAATTTTTTTCAAATTAGTAACAATACTAAGCATATTTATATGATTTAAGTTAATTCAATTACGAGATTTACATTGAAATCGTTTTATCTTGCTATCGATTTTTTAGACACTTCGATTTTATAGCCCAATTCTGTATCGGTGAAAAATTTTCTTTTACTGACAAATTTAAACTTCTTCATATATTAGGTTTGTTCCACAAGCTACTCGAAGTCACTTCGAGTTACACATACGCGTGCTACAAGTAAGTTTTAGTGTTCGTTTGATATACGCAGACAGTTTCAACTTTATCGAGTTTTTCTACAAGTAGCTTGTGGAACAAACCTATTGTTCCGTTATAAAAGCTGTGCCAAAAATTTGTCACTGTTACAGAATAGAGCCGTTAGAGTAATTCGATTGTTGAATTACAAAACAAAAATCCCAATTGGCATCGATTGTAATGCCAAACAAATCGATTTAGTTCCACTTCCGTTCCGCCTAGTCGACCTAATAGCATTTTCAACAGTCTCCCACAGCATCAAAAGCTTCAAAATCATAAACCTAAAATTTCCTTGGATAACCCGAATTTTCCTCACTGACGTGGGCAGTAGCGAAAATACCACCTCGTGCCGATGTGAAAAAAACGCTTAGCAAACAATTTCATGTATTTGCGCCGTGTGTCCACAAATTCAGTCATTTTCAAACGTTCGTCGCGAGCGGAAGTGTAACTAAACGTGTAGTCAATTTGGGGCCGACGACGATTCAGCAGCAGAGGAAAACTGACGTGAAATCATACTTACGCGAAAACTCGTTCGTGCAAACCATAAAAATTTGCAAAAGCGAAGAATTTCTAAGCATTGACGAGCGAGCAACAGCTACCCGGCATTGTAGCAAGGCATTTAAAACAATTCTGAAATATTACTAAAACCACTCGTAAATCACAAAAACTACATTTAATTATCATGGTAAGTGAATAGTGAATGAAGTGGGGAGGGTAGTTGCTTGGTGGCTTCTCAGGTAGTGGCTAAAATTTGTAATTTTCTTTTGCTGAAGCGCTATTTGAAGTGATACATAGTGGTAAAAAAAAAACAATCCTCTCCTAACATTTAAGTATGTATGTAGTTGCACAACATTCACTTTTATCTCCTTTCAATTGACATTGCCCCACTACCATTCAACTGTGATTCATTTATTGGATTTTAGGCCATGGCGTGGTGTGAGTAGCGTAGGCTGTAGAGGCTCGAAAGGGAATGTATGGAACGTAGTTCAGTGTTGCCACACATGAGCTTTTTTTTGGTAGGTTCCGCGACAATAATAGTTAATAACGAAAAATAGAAAATCAGGCAGTTTCTGTAATTCACTTCCGAGTGAATTTCAATAAAATCCGCTTTGAACTCAAATTGGCAGGGGTTGAAACTTACTCGGAAGTGAATTGCAGAACCTGCCTAAATATGTATCTCCAAACATTTTAGCAACCATGATTACACGAATATTTCACCGGCGCGTTCGTATAACGGCGACCGCAAATATGTAAATATATAGTCTGTTCCTTTGAACTTCGGACTAAAACCTGTGGAACTGTCAAACTACAATTTTACTCTCTCAAATGTGTTCCCACTTACAGGTTTTATGTCAATAGGAACGACTTCCTGTAAGTTCTGACTAAATCCTGTAAACCGGACTGCTATTGGAACAGACTAATAACTGATTCTAAAGTACACACGTATACCTTTATTATTACATAATATGTAATAATATTTAATATATAACTGAACTACAAAGTTGTGATAAACTACATATTTACTGAAGACTGGTGCGCTGAAAAGGGCTTGCCAATAAACCCACTAAAGTCCACCCTTGTCCCATTTACTAAAAGAAGGAAAGTGATTTGTCAATGTTATTGTGACTTATTAACATTTTATTTTAATATTGTTATTGAGCTTTATACCAAGATTATATTCAAGTCAATTTGACTAGACCTACCTTGGCAGGGACAGAAACTGAGTTCTCAGAAAAGGCAATGTATCTAGAAGTAACTATGAACAAAAGGCTAAATTGGAACTTACATCTCTCGAATGTTACCAACAAGGCTACAAGGGCGTTTTATTCCTGCCACAGAGACTTGATGGGAAACTGGCGTACTTGTCTCTCATTACGGTAGTAAAAACCATTGTTACATATGCGGCACTGACCGGGTGGCCAAAAGCTAAGCAAGAAAATGCGAGTGCCACCTTAAAAAATCTGCACCGACTGCGTGGCGATCACAGGAGCTATGCCCACCTGTTCAACGAATGCCCTGGGTGTCATTACATGATTCCTCATTTGTCTGTTCTGATTGAAAAAGGGAACGATCTACAGTTGCTCAATACGATCAGCATGAAAAGTGGAGATCTTCGGGGTCATTTGGAGGTTCTCAAGCCATTCCTGGATGATTCCGTTCTAAAAACCCTACAAGGTCAGAATTCCTGAAAGGGACTGCTGTGAAGCGGTAATAACTAAGATTGGCGGGACGACGGGAGTACTGGGGCACGCATACTTGCACGAAGATTCCAGAAAAGTCTGCCAATGGGCTGGGTATATGCCCATGTTCCAGGCGCATGTGTTTGAAATCGAAGTCTTTGTTCGCGAATGTCTAATGGGGCCAGAATAAATATTATGTCGGAAAGTAAAGTTCTGAACACATTGAAAACGACGAGCTACGGGCCACAGCTTCCAACTTGTTACCTTCGTTATCTAAACGCTTTGTCCATGGCGACATGATTATTTTGAACGCGGCAGCGACATCATAAGTTTGTATGAGTTCGACATAAAAGACGAGGAATAACCTTATATGTCGCTGGAAAAATAGAAATAGCTCTAATCTGGCCACAACCACAGTCGTCGCGTAGCCCTGTTGCCGTCAAAATAATTATCTACATAAGAAAACGTGGTAAAATAATTTAACAGCTGTGGTTCGTAGCTCATCGTTTTCATTGTGTTCGGGCTATAACGCAGCGTTAGAGCCCTTAGACCTTCTTAAAACGGCATCAAGGCTTGAGGACAGCTGTAAAATTCTTCTGAGCTAACTGGGAGCCCACAATAGCGTAACGCTGTGTGTGGGTTCCGGGACATGAAGGGCTTGAAGGCAACGGAAAGGCTGATTGTCTCGTAAAGTGAGGAGCCCAAATGCGCTTGCATTGTCCTCAGCACTTCTGCTGTTCATTTAAAGGATACACTGCACAACTATTTAGGGGCTGGGAAGAATTTCATATTGCTTCCCACTGGCGGAAGTCAAAGGGAATGACACTATCAAAGAGATTCATAGGTTCTTCCAGAAGGAACTCCGAAAGACTCCTTGAACTTAGCCGGGAGAGTATTGGAACTCATACTGGCATCCTGACAGGACTCTGGAAGTTAAGCTACCATTCGAACAAAATGGGGTTTCTCTAGAGAGCAAGCTTTATGGGCTGGGTTTACCTCAACAGATCTGATTAGGTCGCAGCGCGAGTATTTCTGACCTAATAATAACAACAATAATAATATGTAAGTGTAAAGAGACATTCATTTGAATAAGCCGGCACAGTAAAATGAATAGTTATACGGAAATAATTTGTTTTTATTGTACTACCTGTGTTGCTATGCCATCTAAATCTTTAATAAAATTGACATTGAAAAAAATTAAAAACCCAAAAAATGTTTGTAGGTTTTGGTTGGTTTTGGTAGGTAAAAAAATTTCTTCGTGGCAACACTGGGGTAGTTAGCGAGCGCTAAGTGTACTTTCTCCTCAATTACGAGTGTTCTCGGCCGCCACTGAGAACGACCTTGACCTCAGTCGTAGCTGCACGAACTACTTGAGTAAAAAAAAAGTTGAAAAAAATTGTTGCTCTTTGCTGGTGCGAAAATGCGCTGTGCTCATTGCTTTATTGTTTATACGGCGAAAAAATATTTAAAATATTTATTGAAAAATAATAAGCCATTCAATTTTGTTATGAGCAAAGTTCGACTTTTGCTTGCACAAT